GGAGGCGTGGGGGTGCCCCGCCGCGGCGTGAAGCGTTGGGGCTTCTCTCGTGTCGTTATCTTTGCCGCCGGCGCCTCTGGAGTAGGGCTCGGGACGTGCCCTCGCTTCAGCTCGGTGCGTGCTTTAGCCGGGAAACTCGACTTCTGTTTTCCCCCCGCGCCTCGCCTCGGAGAGGCTTTGTGTGTATGTGTGTGGGGGGGAATCCGTATGATAGGTCTGAAAACACCTGCGAGACTTCCAGCAGTCTCTTTAAGGCAGCAAGCTGTAAAATGACTGCGGTTATTAAATCTGTTGGACTGCTGGAATAGCTGCCGCTTCGTGTCCCTAGTAGATTTGGCCTAGATAAAGTGCTTAATGCACTGTACTACATAGATTTTTTTTAAAAAAAGAAAGAATCAGGTGGATCAATGCACTGTGAGTTTCTGAAGCATTCCTTAATGTGCATTTCTGTTGGACAAATGCAGGCTTTTTAGGGCTCCATGCAGAGCTGAGGCTGGGATTTCTGAACAGTTTATCAGCTTCCAGCAGACTTGCAACTCCTTAGTGCAGCTATAACATGAAAGGCATTAGTACAGACTGACTTGAATCCTGATGTAGCAAGTAAGGTAGCTGTGTCGTAAGTGCGTTGAAAGTTCTTCGATACACAGAGTCTTAAGAAGTGATATGCTGCTGACGTTAGGTCTGGTTGACTGCGTTACGTGATGGTACAGCCTTATAATTTGGAAGCTACTGTGGGAATCCTCTTGTGCGATGTATGCTGTAAAGGTAATGGGCTTCCTTGTTTAGTTTGGGGACGGGGGAAGTATGAGGCTAAGCTGGAAAATAAATACAGTGTTCTCTAAGGGGAAGAGATAAGGGCATGCCCAAAGTAATCTATGTTTAAAATAGTCTAAAGCTGGAGAATTCTTGTTGAAGCTTTTTTTTTTTCTCTCCCCTCTTCTCCTGGGAGCTGAAAATAAAGATCAGTGCTAGTGTGTGATCACTTAAAAAAAAAAAAAAACAAAAACCCAACAACAAACCATTTCTACAATGAATGCAAATACATGCTTGGCAGAGACTTGGAGGACCCATCAGTCTTAAGTTTAACCTCGTTGTTGATTGTGCTTTTGCTTTCCTCTGAGAATCTGAAGTAGATGTAACTAATCTAGGTTTCAGTTATAGAATTATATAAATCTTCATGAACTGAACTAGGGCCATTTGCTATCTGAACAAATACAGTGTCAGTTTAGTCTTGCTTGAGTTGCTGTTTCAGAGCTCAAAATTGCACAATGCCTTTGCTAACTTGTATGGGTAAGCAAAACAGTTCCTCGATATTAGCGTTGCTGGGGCCGTAGCATTCACATCACCAAACTTTCCTCTAGATTTTTTTTTTTTTTGGTCGTTAATACTACACTTCAGGTCCCAAAATTGTTTTGCACATGTTCTTAACTCCTTAGTTCTTGACACTAAATTTGTGAAGTTCACTGAAAACTAAGTTGTCATTCCTCCAAAAAAAGAGAAGTCGCAGTGAGTTACTGATGTGTTGTCTGCTTTAGTACCCCAAAGAAGATTAATGGATTAAGCAGGAGAAAACGTAAGCTTTTGTACCAATCTTGTTGAGTTCCCATAGAGCTGTTAGCATGCTTTTCAGCTTCTTGTAAGAAACCCTTGTACAAGGTCAAAGGATGATCTTTCTTAGCTTCTTGTATTTGATACTGGTCAGAAGCTCGTGCCTGGGGAAAGTTTTTGTAAGGTCAGGGTGAACATTTAATACTTCTCCGCAATAGTACTTTAGGTGCCAGTGTATTGTGGCCTGAGAGCTTCCTAGGACAGAGGTGATACTTTTACATTCAATAATCTCTGATGGATTTGTTCCCATCGAACCCATGTAAACTTTTAACATCCTCTGTATCTGTTGACAGAACTGTAAGTACACTATGTGAAGAGCCACTGTCTCTTGAACCTGCTATGCTGCCTTTTAATGAATTAATTATTGGGCATAGGAATAGGCAGCAAAAAAATGTTCCTTATTCGCCCTCTCCAAACAGAGGAATTTTATAGGCCTTTTGTTATATTTCCTGTTAGCTGTTTTTTTTTCCCAGACTGAAATGTCCTAGTTTGCTTTGCTATTCCTTCAACTTTTACTGCTGTTTATGCAGTAAGTTACAGCGGGTATAAAACAGTAAGTAAACATTGCTAATCCTGATGGAATCAATTTGTTAGCAAGATACTTTGTTTTTTTTTTTTTTGAAGTATGGTAAAAGTGATTAATTTTTGAAAATGAAATCACTGATTTTAGTAGTAAATAGGAGGAGAAACTTTGCAGTGGTAGAAGCCAAAGTTGCCTTTGTAACAGTGATAGTATTTATTTTAGTAGTGTCTTATTGGAATAGCAGTAATGGTACTTACACTGTGTGTGTCGTTATAAATGTTATAATTTTTAAGAGCTGCTTCTCCTTGTTACTGATCCTAGTTCAATTATTTTCCAGGTGAACAGTTGTCCTGTATCATCGTGATATTTCTTGGGTCTTTAATACAGAGCAGTTTTGTAGTGCATGTGCAGACTTTTTTTCCCCAACTTAGTGTACAGCTGCAAGGAAAACCACATTTTAAAAATTGGAATGTTTACTGTGTACTCTGTGTACTGTAACTTACCTAATTATTCTTATTTCAGAGTTTTCTTGAAGGCCTTTTTCGTCCTGTTTGTGAGATTGATGTTGTTCTTAATGATGCTGAAACACGAAAACCAGCAGAAATTAAAACAGAGGATGGTAAAGTAGAAAAGCATTATCTCTTCTATGATGGCGAGTCTGTTTCGGGAAAGGTAACTTTTTTTTTTAATGCTTATGAATTGCTCCACTGTTTCTGGTATGTGAATATGTACAGAAGGTTAAATGATAACTGATATAAGCAACAGCCAGAACTGGAATCACTTCAAAGAAAAAAAACCTCTGTTTTCCTTTATCTGGTCTTTCCAGCCATAGTTACTGAGGAAACTGACAAAATTGAACCTTTTCAATAGTTTGTTGCTGCTTATTTGTCTCTGGTTATCTTGTCTTTATGGGGAAGCTGTTTGTGCAGTTATGTGCACTCTTGTCATTGGTTTTGACAAGAAAGCTATTCCTAACTGGATCTCCTCCTCTCTTCTGTGCTGTTCTTCCCCTTGAACTCCAAAATCTAGTGTCTCACACATAGCAGTAATTATTGGCTGATACAGCTGACTTGCTTTGCATATCCTGAAGCCAAGTCTTATGTTTTATGCCCTGAGGTGGTTTCTGGAATTGCTTCAGAGAAGCAACATATTAGGTTCAGCTGGCTGCCAAGTTCATAGGAGTTTTTCTTGTCGAAAAAAAGAATGAAGTTAAGATTGCCAGAAGGATTCCTCATCTTTCAGTATTGCACCTAGGAAGTCATTTTGATGGCTCTGGTTTTACTAGAGCCATTCTCATTCTCTGAATATTTCTCCTCTAATCCACTTTTCCTCCAAGAAGCTTGAGCCAGGTGTTGGGTTCTGGGATTGACTTCTAAAAACTTGCTTCGCTCTTAACTGCTCTATTGCTGCTGGGCATCTTCCTGCTCTTCAGATGTCTTTACATGTTATGAGCTTGATTCTCTAGAAAGATCCTTTCAGGGATGTGAAACTCACAAGACGGGCCTCAAACTCGGGGAACAGAGGAACTAGTTCTCAGGTGTCCTCTGGCCTAAGGACTGCTCACTTATATCAGCGACTCCTGAGAGGTGCCTGATGAGTTTTAATTAACACAATCACAACTGGATCAGGAGGTTTGGAAGACCAACGTCTTGTTGGGCAGCTTTCTTCTGCTTCTCTGTTTCTCCTCTTTTCACCACAAAGGCAGATTGTCCATGTGGCTTACTTGGACTCAGAGATCATTGATGCATTGGATTTTAAGGTATAGGAGTTTCTCAGGTCATAGCTACCTAGTGAGAAAACATTGCATATGCTTAATATTGCACATTTCCATAGGATGTAACATTTTGCGCTCTCTTGTGAGGTTGAAGTCTGTTTATGAGAGTCATATTCACGTATGAAGATCCTGATAGTAGATTTGGTTGTCTGCTGTTTTTGCTTTTACTCCTTTAAAACTTCTGCTGAGGAAGGGGCTTAAGTTCCTTTGACTTGGAAGGAATACATCTTGTGACAATTTTTTTTTTTCTGGACGTCTCAATGTGACTGTCAGAAGATGTTTTGAAGAACTCGGCTTTCCAAGATGGTAAGAGGGTCACAGCTGGCTTGTGTGAACTCTACTGAGGCTTTGGCTTAGTCTTCTATTTGTGGGGCTTGGGGGATTTCAAACCTATTTATCAAATTTAGTTGGTTAGATCTTAGATGCTTTACTGATGCCTTGGAAGGTGATGCTTAATGTCATCAACTACCTGGTTTATTTGCCTTCAAGCTCAGCTAGTACTGTTAAGGTGGAGGTCTCAGTCACCATGGGTATGTTTTAGTAATTAACTTCCACTTTACTACCTGATCTTAGTAAAGAGAAAATGTTTAAAACTCTAACTGGTACTTTTTTGCCTTGGTAGGTGAATGTCTCCTTTAAGCCGTCTGGGAAGAGACTAGAGCATCAAGGAATTAGAATTGAATTTGTAGGACAAATTGGTGAGTTTAAGCTATAAAGGGGATGTTAGGTAGGTGTGGTTTATGGGACTTTGCATTTGTGACTGACAGCAGTCTGGCTCAACCATCTCGACCTGATCAGGTTAGTGAATGACAAGTGCCAAAGGAAATATTACTTGCTCACTTTAACACAAGTGATATACTACTTGGTGCTAGTCAGAAAACTAATGGGAGGGAGAATGTGGGATGTGCATGTGAGGGAGGAATGGGATGAGGAGTACTCTGTCAGAGGCTGATTGAGAAGTTGAATGAAAGCTACCAGTGGTCTTTGAAAACTAAACGTAGCCATGGTACGCGTGGCTTCTGCTTCACGTATTTCAGACTATTCATTTTTAACTTAAAAACACCCCTGAAAATAGCTATAAATGATGAGTGACAGTGATATGAAAACTGAGATCAAACTATTTTTCCCCCCCTACCTATGCCTTGTTTCATCTGTATTTGAGATTCCAAAGCAAAATGTCAGCAGTACCTATTTTGCCAGATCTCTTAGTTCTAGCATTTAATTCTGGACCTGGAAGAAGAGGCATAGGGGGGGAAAAAAAGAAATGCTGGAACAGCCTACAGTGAGATTTTTCTGGAGATAATTCTATGGTGGCTGGTTTTCTAAAGCATGGTTCTATACTATTGACATAAAATAGGATTGAAACTTCAGAAGATACCTGCTCTTTCTAACAAGATTATGTGGTAGTCACATTAAAAATATCAATTTCTTAAAACTATCCAAATCTGGTTGGATTTGAACTGTGAAGGGTCTTGATCATATCTAACCTCTTCTCACCAGCTGAGGTCATTTTTCTGCATCCTTAGGTTCAGGCTAAAATTTCTTCTGCCTCTGTTAGAGGGCTGTGTGCATTGGTGTCCCCCCCTTTGAAGTACATCTTCGTTTCAGCCTCATACGAGTGACTTGGATTGAAATTTCACAAATTCTCTATTTTTGATCAGCCGTTAGGCTCCAGTACCCTGTGTGTGAACTGTTACACAGCAGATGTGACTGAGTTCTGACACCTGCTACTCTGTGCTTTGAGGTTTTGATCAGTGGTGGTGTAAAAGCAAACTTTCAGAATAAAGTAGCAGTGTAATGGGAATGAGGCATTTGGAGGGTAGGAAAATAAGGCTCATGTATGTCAGTGTTTGTCCTCTAATAGCTCTGCTGGTTGTTTTTTAATCTACCCTGATGCATGGACGTTTATTTGCCTAAACAACTTCTAGCTGAGGCAGTGAATTTTGTTTCTGGGCATCTTTCTGTAGTGCTACAATTTAAAATTTATCAAGGAGTTATGGAGAAGCGGCTTATCTTAAGCCACCGCTCTTCGTCCTTTTTCATGTTTTCTTGCATCCTCTACTAAACTGAATTAACATAGTAATACAAAAACATCCTAATACTGTGGTGTATCTCTGCCTTACTTGGAGACTAGCTCCAGCTGCATGTCACAGTCTAATTTTAAACCAGCTCTTTAGAGTACAACTTCTCTGATTTGCACAAAAAGAATTGAATGTGCAGCAGTAAGTAAACTTTGTTATTTAAACACTTGTCATAGCAAACAAAGTTCACCTTAGTCTAGTTGTTTTAGAAAATAGACATTTTAACTAGTAACTGCTTATTTCTAGCAAATCGGCAATGATACTCTGAAGTTGAGGAGGTGTTGAGTTCACTTGTCTTCTCTGTAGCGCCTCAATCTATATAAAATAAACGCCAGAAGCCAAAATCAGGCAGTGCTAAGTACAAAGATTGCAAGGCAAGAAATACTTTAAGTTAGCTGGTCTGGCATAAAAAAACATACTATGCTAGTGAAGCTTGAAATAGTTGTTCTTTGCCTTGCATGTGGTACTTTAGGAATACTTATTGTAGGTTGTTGAAGCTGAAGGTAGCTTTGAAAAACTTGATAAAACTTTTTGTCAAATAGGTGTCACTTTGATCCAGAAATAGTTGCTTCCTTTTTCCTTCCTGCCTGCTCCTGCCAAATTGTAGAAGAAGTTTTGTTTGCTTGAAGTAAATACTGAAACATGCTTTCTTTTGACTCCCTCAACTTTAGAGCTCTTCAATGACAAAAGCAACACTCATGAATTTGTAAACTTAGTAAAAGAACTGGCCTTACCTGGAGAACTGACCCAGAGCAGAAGCTATGACTTTGAATTCATGCAGGTTGAGAAGCCATATGAGCTCCCCCCCCCCCCCCCCCCAAGAAAAGGAGGGCCAATTTCACTGCTAATCCTGAGAGTAAAACTATTGTGAGAATGGTGGTGCATGATTGGCTTATGTGAGCTTTAACAGCATCAAAACGGAGCTGTTGAAATGTACAAATGGCAGCCTAAGGATTTGATGAGAGCTACCTTTGTGGCTCACTCTAAAGCAACTAGTCCTTGGTGTTTTGATTTGGGTTGGAAAAGGACAGAGAGATGAATCTATCTTTTTATTTAATTAAAAATAAATCACTTTGATACTGGAATCCTTTTTTTCCACAAACTGTGGGGTGTTGTGCTTTGTCGAATGCACAGTGCAAATGAGATTTTTATGTAAAAAGCAGTTGGGTTCCAGTGACCTCCAGTGAAAGCTGATGGGTGTGTATACTCATTATTTTGGCGAATTGGCAATAGGAGCGGTGAGACTGGTGCCTGCCAAGGGTTTGGCTTTTATTTTGTCCTTCAGCTGTCTGTATTTTGGATTTCAAGTCAGGCTTGTAACAGCCAATAACTAGTGTGCCTTGATTGGAGGTGTTGAGAGTCTTTTATGATGTAGCTTTTTCTACTTTATTTGGAATTGTTCAGTTTTGTTTGTAAAGATCCAGTTCTTTCAGTTGAATCATGTGAAGACAGTCCATGTCTCCCTTAAAATTTTCCCTAAAAAGCATGTTATGTTTTTGTCTTATTCCTTTCTGTTCAGTCTTAAGAGAGAATGATCTTTTGTCTTCCAAAGAACACGTGTATCTCGGAACGTAAATGCTTTTGCTTATGTAATTCTGAATAATTCTGAGTGACCTGGTGGCTTTCTTCCTAGATATTTCCTAAAAGTGACAATAGTAAGACGGCTGTCAGACCTGGTGAAAGAGTACGACCTCATTGTTCACCAGCTTGCTACCTACCCAGATGTAAACAACTCAATTAAAATGGAAGTAGGCATTGAAGACTGCCTGCATATAGAGTTTGAGTACAATAAATCTAAGTAAGTGTAACTTGGAGCAAAACACATCTAAAGTAAATATCTGAGGAGAAAAATGTAGACTACTGAATATTTGATGAGCAACCTGACACCTGGGGTATTAAATGCAAAGCATCATTTTCAATGATTATTATATTGAGTTGTTTGGCTAGTAATTTTACAGTGGCCTTCTTTGAGGAGTACGTGTCTCTTCTGCTTCCATTACTAAAAGGAAGGTCAGTAGCAAATATTGAAAAGACTTGATTTCAAATAGTATTCATGCTACTTCAATATATAACTGCAGTACTTTACTGTAGTGATGGAAGGATGTTAATTGCTCTGGTCTGGCTGACGTGCTCATCTGGGGAGGGGGGAAATAAGCTCTGAGTAATTAACAGGCAGCTCAGGTAACTGCCTTTATAACTTGTTTTCAAAAGGTTGTAAAAATTGTTTAGTGAAAACCCTGTTCTGCTCTCTTAAAGGTATCACTTAAAGGATGTGATTGTTGGAAAAATTTACTTCCTCTTAGTGAGAATAAAAATTCAGCACATGGAGTTGCAGCTGATCAAAAAGGAGATTACTGGAATTGGTAAGAGAAACAAAGTTCAAAGGAGATGGCAACTTGTATGCCAGTTGAGCTTAGGTGACCCTGGAGAGCGAGGCCAATAGTTCCAGCTTTGCCTGAAGTGATCTCCCATGTGCTCTCTGCTCACTTGCTTGTTTGACTACAATTTGCAATATGTGGCATCAGTAATCTTACTTAGTAGTCAACATTACTCAAGGTCTGCAGCTCATTCTGGGGTTGTGAACGTTGGGCGGGCTAGCTAGCGCTACGAACTTGAATCGTTGTAAATGGAACTTGAGCGTAAATACACATGAGCTTAAGCAGCCTTGATAGATAATGAACAAGGAAGAAGGTATAAAATGTGTCTTGAAGAACCCTTTATCTCTGCAGAGATAATCTGGCAAAGTGGGTTTGGTAAAGAATGGCATGAATATGTTTCATGTGCTCTGGAAGTTTGTCGCTTTCAGTCAGCCTAAAACTGCTAGAAGTAAAATATCAAGAGGCTTTGAAGCAGCAATAGCTTGATCACTGCAGATCAGGCTTGCACACCCTGGAGCTAGGGAGGCAGTAGGAGGCTGTGGCTTGTGACTTCCTTTGCCTAGGGCCATAGTGAGCTGTTTGTGTGGAGTGTTAAGAAAGGCTCTGTAGTCGCAGAGGAAGGGCAGAAGGCTGCCCTTATTGCTGCCTTTTCTGGCTAAACTTGGCACTGCAGCTTAACCATCCTAAGACCTGAAGAAAGGTGCTCCTTTTGCTGGATGGTACCCCTTCAGGTTTTCAGTCTCATCGTGGCCTAGCAGTACCGAAGTAAGTAGCTCTGCCCGCCGAACACTTTCCCAGGTCTTACCCTGTATACTTGCTCGTTATTCAAAGCCTTTGTATTGAGGGCTCCCTGGAAACCTGCTGCCTCTTCCTTGTCAGTATGGGGAGGAGAGAGTAAGAAGCAGACACTTTGCCCAGGAGATGACTTGCTTGTCCTATCTGTGGGTAACTGGTATGTAAGGAGATGTCTTTCTTGCTTTGAAGACCTACAAAGGCAAGAAAAATGCAGTGTTCCGTAATTTGAATGCTGCAAAGTAGAAATTGCTGATAAAACTTTGTAAATACTTTGAAAACTGAAGTATGTGTTCTCAAAGTGAAAACTTGTTTGACCAGGACCCAGTACCACAACAGAGACTGAAACCATTGCAAAGTATGAAATAATGGATGGTGCACCAGTTAAAGGTAAAGAATTGTGCTTCTGTTTTGAAGGGGGGAGCACTCTGGGTTAAAACTGTGTCCCTGTCTTCCCCCCCCCCCCCCTTTGGAAGGGCAGGAGTTGACTTCTGTAAATTTTTCTTGGAGAAACTATTTTTACCTTGGGTTGCATAAGCTTAAATGAGGGTGGATTTTTTTTCATATTTGAAGCAGATATTTTCATTGACTTGGAGTGTTTCACTTGGGATTCTAATGATTTATCCCTCCTTACCACTGCAAACTCTGTGACTGCTCCATTTAGCACTTTAGTTCAAAGTCTATTGTGCTGAACTTCTCTCCCCAGAGAGTTCTAGATACTGTTCCTTTTGTCTTGTCTGGCTACCATGCTTCTACCTACACTTGCCTCTGTAGGTTCAGTGTGTTTTACCAAGTGTCTGAGCTGCGCCTGCCTTCATGACTCAGACATGCAAGTGCCATTAGGTGCCTTAGGCAGAAGCAGTACTGTGAAGGTGACTTGGTGGCTGAAGATGGTGCAATTTAAGCCTGATCTAGGCATGAAGGTTAAATTTGTTAGTCTAGACTCGCACTTCCAACTTATGGGAGCTGGTTGATGACTGTGTGGAAAAGGCTTAAATGATCTGAAACTTAATGTAAGTGTGAATGACTTGTTGCCTAGAAGGCTCCTATGAACTTCAGATCCTGGAAATCTGATATTGCCTCCCAGGAAAGAAAGGATCCCTATTTCAGAATGCACAGACAACGCTTGGGAAGCTAAGCTGCCTTTATGTTTGAATGGCTTCTGAAAATGTTTACTGACAGTCAGTTGTCAGCAACTTATTTTAAACTCTTCTCTGTTTAAGGTGAATCGATTCCTATAAGACTGTTCTTAGCAGGCTATGACCCAACTCCTACAATGAGGGATGTAAACAAAAAGTTTTCAGTGAGGTACTTCTTGAATCTAGTGCTTGTGGATGAAGAAGACAGGCGATACTTCAAACAACAGGTATGGCCTCTAGGAATCTTGTTGCAGAGTGTTTTCTGGGCTGTTGAACATACTGCTTCAAATATGACGCGTTAGAAACCAACTGTGTCTTGTGTATGGCTCAGATATTTCTGTTGTCTGGTGTATTGCAGTCTGCAGAAAACCTTAGCTTGAAAAGGGGGGAAGCCATAAAGGAATGCTGCAGTCTGAATATTCAGACAAATCTGTGTCTAAAATGAGCTGTGGATGCATCTGTTTGCTGCTTTTTTTAAACTACTGCAGATAGTATTATCCCTTTACAGTATTAACTTGGGTTCAAAACTGCAAAATAGTACAGAGGACTAAGATGCTTGACTGAAATTCGGCAAAAGTTGAGGGCATACAGAAGAAGGAATGATGTGAAAAGGGTCACTGGAATGAAGCTATGTAGATCAGAACAAAATGTAGACCAGAGTCTTCCTTCTAAAGAATAGACAGGATAATATAACTTAAAATGGAAAACAAAAGGAGCCTGGAGGATAGTAAGGCTATGATAGGCTTCAGATCTAGGGGAAAAGGAGGGAGGAAAAAATACTTGGACCCTTTATACTGTCAAAGTAGGGCTTAGAATAGCCTGGGAGGTGACTGTTGAGGATTGATCACAATAAATGTGCAAGGGATAACTAAATACGTACACTGAATTACCTGTCTCTTGTTTCTACCTTAATTACAGAACAGTGCAATGTAGTGGCAAGGCAGAGTGTTTCAACATCCTTTGCCTAGGAGGGTCTTATCATAATGATACTTGATGCTGCTGGCTTAGTGGCGAATGGTTGATTCAAAAGTGTTTACTTTCTCCATAGGAAATAATTTTATGGAGAAAAGCTCCTGAGAAACTGAGAAAACAACGAACAAACTTTCACCAGCGATTCGAATCTCCAGAATCACAAGCATCTGCTGAGCAACCTGAAATGTGAACTGGTATAAGATGAAAAACTCTCGCAATGCTTCAGCAGGTTAAAGATGGCAGCAGCCTGTGGGAAACGAAGGCGAAAATTCCCATTACAACTGTCTTCCTTCATCTTGCAGTGCTGCATTTACCATACTACTAAAATATTCTTCAGTTAAACATTCAAGTATGTATATACATTTAAAATAAAGTGCTTTCTCAAACACTGGAACTTAAGCTACTATTTTATACTGCACATTTACTTTTATTTGATAATGTTATGCACTTGGATATGCATAAGCTTAAATCTAGTTATTTCCAGGCAGGGTGGGCCGGTATATTTGATTTTGCTGATCACCTATATTGTATAGACTGAAGCATTTCCCTTCTCTGTTCATGTTTACTGCATGTCTCTTTCAAGTGTTGCTTATCTGCATTTTTTTTTTGTTTTGAAAGCACAGTAAGACAACTGACTAAACCACACTAAAAATCAAGGCTTGCGATGGACTTCTTGCCCTAAAAGACTTAAAATTATCATATTAGGGTTTAACTCAAACTGCATGTATATGCACTATGAAAATGATAACTGTGGAGCCTTCAGCTACCTTACCAAGGTTTTTAAGAAGCTTTGAATCTGTTAGTAACAAAGGAGTAATCACCCCCCCCCCCCCCCCCAAAAAAAAAAAAAGAAAAACTTGTTCTACCATACTTCTAAGCCTTTCATCTGAGTGACTTCTGACTTTTTAAGGTTCATTGCCCAGTAACTAGTGAAAGTAGAGGCATTCTTGCTATTTCACTTTGAGGTGGTGAGTGGCTGAAATATGTGAAAGTAATTATCCTTTATTGATTAAACAAACATTGGTAACATTGATTATTTTGCAAATACACAATTATTCCTCCTGGATTCACACTTCTGTTTTCACAGTCTGTTTCCTCACTGTTCTAATAGGAGAGGCAAAACATCCTCAAAGGACATCCTCCTGAGTCCATCGAGGCCTGTTACAAGGGTAAACAAGCTTTTTTGTGCTCTTCTAGAAAGGTATTTTGAAGCCAGGTGAGCTTCAAAACTATTAGAAGCTTTTCTAGCAAAGCAGATTGTTTGTCTTAATCATCTTGTCTGCATTTAGTATTTGGAGAAATAGCTTACACAGGTTAGCCTTCATCTAGTCACAACTGACCATGTAGTCTGTTATCAGACATGTGGCTTGGGCATAAAATGAAGCCTGCTGTGTGGAAGGCTACTTGCACTTGTAGTTCACTTGGCCTTAAACCAAGACTTTTCAACTTCAGTGCAAGTGTCATTGGTAACCTTACTTTATGAGTAAGTAAATAATTGAATTACATTTCTGTAAGAACTGTTTTATTACTGTGGCACTTTGATAAAGCAGACAGATTCTGCGTACTTTATGCTAGGGTACTTCTCTTCATGTGGATGTCTTTGAGAGCAAACTTAATTCCCTCATGTAAGTGCCTGTTCAGAACTTTAAAAAATAAATAAATAAAGCCAAATATTTTCATGGTCACTTGCATGTTGTAATCTGGAAATTATTCCAAGAGATTTTGAAAACGGATTGTATTTAACCAGCCTCAGATTGTGCAACCATGTATAATAAACAAGAAACATAACGAGCTGCTATTTGAATGATTAAAATAGCTGTATTCTCACTAAACACGGGGTTGTCTTTGTTAATGGGGATGCACATTACAACTTATCTGAGCTCTGCTGTTTGCAACAGGAGTGCACGTCACCTTGTGGAAGAATGACACTGTTTTATAACCTAGGGAGCCTGTGATAACTGAATTCATACCTCTATATTTAAAAAAAAAAAAAAAAGTGGTTCTGATTCATTTGGTCTTAAAATCCTTTCCTGGTAAAGTGACAGTTCTGAACTCTACTAAGGATCTAGACTTAGATGAGCCCCCTGCTCTTCCCTCTCTAGTGCATCGCATCAAAGCGAAGAATGCGACTGCAGGTCAAATTTCTCTGCTGCTGTTTTGTGGGCATATGTTGAGACGGCATATGAAAATAATTGCTGTGCTCTTCCTCATTTACAGTGGTGTCCTGCCTGGGTTTTAAACTCAAAAAATAGGGGGACTTAATGAACGTACCTACTCTTCCTATGCTATAATTCCCTGCTATGGATTCTCTGTTGACTCCAATAGGTGAGTCAACAGAGTTTTTGCTGAAAATCCTCGGGTTTTTGCTAGGAGTTCAACTTCAGCCATGTTTAAACCTGGCGCTGGCTTGAGATGTTCTGATTTTTGAACCAAGCAGCCCGTGATTTCTCGGTGTATGTAGCCCAAGCTTCCTAAATGGGACAGGGAAAGGCACAGGTTGCGTTCCTAATAATGTCGTTGTGACAGCTGCTACTCCAGTTTCCTTCCTGGAAATGACATTTTTATTTTTTTAAATAAAGCTGTGCTGCTCCTAGCACCCCTCTCCAGCCTCCTGCTTCCCCTTCTCAGGGTGCCTCGGGGCCTTTCCCGTGGCGCTGCAGTGGCTGCAGCTCACTTACAGCTACATTTTCCTAAAATGGGTGAAACGCCTCGTTTCTGCTCTCGCTGCTGGGGCGCAGTTTCCCTCTCCCTCCCTCCCTCCCCGCCCCGAGCGCG